CAAAGAGCTCACAGTCAATAAACAGTTAGACTGTGTGCTATCTATTGATCACTGGCCGTATCATGAATGATCTGAAGGTATTCGAAATAGTTAGCAGGTTAAAGAAGCCTAGCTTGTAACACTTGGTTAGGACTATCGTCATCAAAAGACGAGTGCTAAATCTTTGTGTGCAGGAAATGACAGTGGTGGATCTTGCACTGTCTAAGTGACAACGAAATATGCAATTCTACGGCGTCTTCTTCTCTCCTGTTAAGGAAACTTATATTGTTTCATATAAGCATGACTCACCCTAGCCCAATATTTCTCTATTTCATCAAAACATACTTATGTCGTTAAATAACTTACTACACTGTTATGGTCCTTCTGGTTGAACTTTGTTTCTATCCATAAATCTTAAACCTTTTTCTTAAGTATATTAATATAATTACCCTACAAAACTCAATCTTTTGAATTCTCAATATTTAACAACTTACACAATTCCCTAATTATGTTGCCTTTAGTTGCAGTAAGTTATTTCTTGTCATCTCACGAAAAGTATGCTGAAACCCTTCTGCAATTTATATTTTTTGTATTGTTCAGGTTGTATCCATCTGCGAAGAATCCTCGAAATAAAAATATATGAACTCATATGATACTGGTATATCTGTTCATAGTGGCGGTGACCGAACCCTGATTATATTTCTACTGAAGATTGAAATTTAAAATTCAGTTTAACTGTTAGCAAGGTTTTCACTAGAAAAAGTAGTATTGGGATAAACTCTACAAACTAATGTCAATCTCAGCAAGCTTCTTACAGATGTTCCTTTCGAAAATCTACTCTACCAAACCAGTTAACGTATACCAGTATCTGTTGAAGATTTCCAATGCTTCGAATCTATCATCATCGATTTTTATAGTCAGTACCATTATTAACAAACTATAGGTATATTTTCTTTTTACAAAACAACGTAAAGAGCAGTCTAAACAGTTGAAATGAAATAAGATTTTATTAATAATGCTACCTGACAGTAGTGAAGGCGTAGTTATCCTGGGCCGTTAAGATTACGTGGATAAAATGTCACATATACTTTCCGACCGTAACAGATTATATGGACTTTTTAATAAGTGGAATAGAACAGATTCAGTTAAAAGCAACTCACACGAGATTTAAAGGAATGAAGACTAAGCATCTGACTAGTGGGGGACTTTTTGAATGGATCAGATCACTGGGGTCTTTAGTACCGAAGCTTTACAGTCCGCCTAATAAAAACAAAAATTGGCCAAGTAATTCGTCCTATTCTACGTGCATCTGAATACTTTATTAATCCAATAGCTAGGTGGCTAGCTGAAGTGATAACACCCAACAGGAGACAATTACATGTTGACTGCCCTTTCACCATCTTCCAATCAGTGCACATAATTATGAACACATTCAATGAGCAGCCATAATCTCTGAAGTCTCAGTAGAGGACAAGAACGGAAATTAGAAGTTATATGTGTCTTATGTTTCTGAAGTCACTACATAGAACCCTTATCTCAGGATTATTCAAAGGTGACAGAGATATAATTATCGAAAGCTGGTACGGAAACACAGACGAACTGCTGTCAGCAGCTAACAGTGACCTGTTCAACACAAGGAAGAGACGACAATATAAATGTATATTATAACAAATCACCATCAACCCAAACCTTCTAACCTCAGTTAAAACTATGTAGAATTTCAATAAATCAAAGTCCAGAATGCTTCAAAATAAGTGCTGAACCGTTCAGAAATATATTCTTCATATGTGAATACAAAATTAAGTGGTTCGAAAAATTGTATATCGTGTACTGAACAAAGTCCACCCGATTACTTCGATGTCAGCAAATAATTGTGCTTCATCTAAGCAAACTCCAAGTGATTAATTTATATCTGAAGTGTACTTTGTCACATTCGATAACAAACTAAATTTGTGAAAAAAAGCACCATAGCTATTTATACATTCACAAGCGCATCAAAAGATTCTTACAAAATCACGAGTACACGGAACTAAAATTGTACAGCATGATTGTTTGTTTGACAGATAACTTGAACGTCTGAACTAGGATTTATGAGTAATACGTGTGAAAATAATACCTGAGTCAAAATTAACACTCCAGATAGGAAATACTACGCCTAGTGAGACAAGTCATTGTGAGGTGAATTGAATTCACTCCATATCGTATGCTCAAAATAGTCAGAATACACATTATGTTCGAGATTTGTATACAGTTTGATAGATTTAGATGTCCTTCCTAAATACAAATCGTTTGTTACAGTTCACTAATAAATCTAACACATATTGAGTCCTTTCACATTGTGCCGGCATACACATACACCATGAAATATTCTGTATCATGCTAGCATCACAAACAACAATAATATGTAAATAAGCTGTAAGAATTTTAGTCACTGTGATTGCGTATCGCGCTAATTTATGACCGGTATTGAAAATGATTGACCTTAGATTGTAGAGTTTATCCTGATTCTGTGTTTTCCAGTGAAAATGTTTCACTGTTGTTAGCTGTGTCGCCGAATTCTGAAGTTAATGAAATAAGAGGCAAGCTATTTAAGGAAAGTTTTATCAACAGTTAAGCTGGATTTCAAATGTGAATCGGCAGTGAAATTATATTTGGAGAATGAACATAATCTCCTTGTTTCAGTTATGAGCAACCAATCGCATCAACAGGTAATGTGGTATGTTATGAAATATATGGTACTGCATCATTAGATTCTGCTAAAGTTTTGATGAATACAAAGAAACATGATATACCAAGGAATAGGGGCCCTAAAATAACTTTGATTTGCCTGTGTTCGGGATTTCAAGAGGCCGCTTACTTCTCTAAACAGAAACAGAGCTTAGTCGATCATCTAGCGGAATGAACTGAATCATAATAAATTCTGATTTTACACACTGACTGAAACAAAGCAACTGGTCCGAAAATTCCTTCATGAAGAATCTGTGTAGACTGGTGATACTTATAATTTGGTAACCACTACATTTTTGATTTCACCTTTTTATCATAGTGCCTCCCTCTGACTTGTTCCCTAGTATTTATCTTTATTTTCGGTTGATTACTTTTGTTAATGATTCTTTTTGTTTTTTTGTCATGAAGCTGACAATAAAATGCTGTCTTAAGATTGCAAGTACGTTTGAATGAAGTGAAGGTTACGCTGCTGACTGACTCAGATTTCTTCAACTATCTGTGTAAAACATCTTTTACCCCTTTTAATTTTTGCAAACAGTGTTCTAATTCCGCCTTCTGCAATTATTCTTATTGATTTTCTTGCAATTTTAAGTTGTGTCTGGTCTGTTAATTTAGCTATAGATGATGTATTTTGTACCTGAGAATCTTCGGACCATATAGACGTCTTATGGCGTCTATTTGTATCTGCCTGTTTAATTGCTCCTTTGCAGCCATTCATATGCAGGGCACAATTAGGCTAGTTCATCGTCAGGTTTTCAAACACTACTCTTAATGGTTAGACAAGATGTAAGAAATGAAGTTGACTCGTCCTTATATTTCAGCACACACTATGTACTGTCACCAGAGAATCAATATTAACAAAGCATTCTGATTTATCTATCACATTCCCACCAATTCTAATCTCGAATTTATGAATCTGCCTTATTCGTAAAATACAAGCTATCGGAATCTACCTTAGGAAGCCAAACCTGTGTACAGTATCTCTCTTTGTCTCAGCCATCTACAAATGAATGTGAAATCTGACCACTTCTCCCTCCCTCTGTATCAGGATTTGTCATTTTTTAATTATCTTTTCTTTGCCTAATTCAGATAAAGGATTTTGAATAGTGTATTACTAAAAATTTGAAAACTGAATTCGGCCAGAACACTTCGTTGACTCCTTGTTAGAACTAGATATTTTTTTTTTGACTATCCTATACAATTCTTCTTCAGCTCAATATCCGAGGTGGTTATCGCAGAAAGTAAACGTGTAAACGACCAATGGTAGTTTTAAGTACTCGCCACGAGTGCTATTACAATTATGAATTCAAAACACTGTTCTTTATGAAATACTTTTTCAAGAGTGATACCTGATATAAGAATGAACCCAATAATGAAGCAACTATTTTGCTGCCCTGAAATGATACTGTAACTGATTATTATTAACTCGATCTGTTCAACTATTTTTGTAAATATGTGGTTCATTTGATCGCATCAGTAGTGTGCGTCTGTGGCACAGCGGTTAGGACGCTAGCCGACCATTCACATGGTCCGGAGTTCGATCCCCGGCCGACCCACTCCTTTACCTTGCTAAGCCAGAAATCATGCTGGTAAAGAGGAAAGATTGGGCATGGGGCTAGCAACCCTAGCCTGTAAAAATAAAACACTACTACAGAAACTTTAAGCCACTAGCTTGAAGCCCTATGTTCCACTTGGGAACGTGAAGGAAACGAAAGTAACATCTTTATGTAACCGAAATAATACGTCTACACTGGCATCAAAAATCCAATACATTGTGATGTGTCTCACTGAAAGAAGCAGTCAAATATCAGTCAACAGATTCTGATTTAAAATTTCGAATGGTCTTCACCAACCATGTTAACTTGTCACTATGATCAACAATAACACACTAAGCACGACCAGTTACCGGGGTTTTGAAATATATGACCTTGGTTACAAAAATCTTGCTTGTTTACGCTTAGGGAGCTTGTTAATTTTTAAGAATATTGTTGGAGTATAAAAGTAATCAACACATCCATGTACAGTGTGTCATGCCTGACAAATTATCTTCACTCAGATATGAGTTTATTATTCACATCCAATACAAATATTTCATATATTATCCCTAAACGATCTGACTGTCTTGAAATAGTAATATTTTCAGTATTTAGAAAGTTTGAATTATGTAAAGTAATTTCTCTGAACAGAAGAATAGACAGCTTACAAATTATTCTGTAATGGAAGGCTTTCTTGGTGAAAACTTCTAGTGAATTTGTAAAACATTTATTTCAGTCATGACAAATATCTTGACATCATCAACCTCCTGGTGGTGTTACTGATGGCGGTCGAGATCTCAGTCCGAACGGTGCATACACCCACAAAACCGTCAAGATCAAACACCAACTGTAATCATAAATATTCCTGGCTGGAATAACAATATTGTCCTCTAAATAATAATGAGTACTCGTGCCAAACACCAGCTTCATTTGTTTCACGAGTTGCTACAATCAAAGATGCAGTGAACAATAAAGCAATCACAATGAGGCTGAAGTGTACTGATGCTTGTCGATGATTTCTACTACACAACTACCACACTTCTAGATGAAGTCATATAGATCATATTTTTCATATTACACTTGACATGCTATTACAGTAAATCTAGTCAGCGTAAAACGAGTCAATTCACTTGAACAAAGCCATGAGAGCATAATGAAATTCAACTTACGAAACATGTGCATGGGAATCCAATACATCCAGCGATAAGTAAGGCGATCTAGTGAAGTGTGAAAATATGAAGATTACGACATTTCTCAATAAAGAGTTGATGGTTGATGATGAGAATAAATGTTTGTGTATCTCAAGCCACAGACACACGCATCATGGTCATTCTCTGAGGACGATGCCAAGCGCTGTTTAGACATCTATCCTCTAGTGGAAACGCAGATTCCATACCATCTCTTATTTTAATCAACAGTGAGGATGAATCAGCTTCTGGGAGACTGAAACTCAAGTTCGTGAATGCTGTGAATACTACTACATATTCAACCACAGTATATCAACTAAACTACCCAGTAAGACTGGATTAAGATCTGTGTCATTTCCTTTAAGAATTGAATAGTCTCATAACCACGGAGTGCTCCAGACGATTTCATCCTTCATCCTGCGATTCTAAATCTCACTAAACAAACTTCAGTACAATAGAAATCAGTTACTCACTTAGTATATTTCCACTAATTACGCCATCTTTGACAATGAGACTTTACGTGATAAAATGACTTATTGAATCAAATGCTATTATTCTGAGAAGATAACAGTACAAGAAGAAACACTAAATGGTATTCTCAAACACCACTTGACGTAGTTAGCTGTCTCGCGAAGTAGGCAATTTGACCACATAATATTGACAGGCCAAATATAACATTCACTATCCTGCTTAGTAAATTTTCCGTGAAATCGTTCACCACGAAGAGTGCAAAGCAGATAATGACTTGTAACATCGTCCATAGAAGTGAGAATGCAACCAGTGACACCTCATCTTTGTATGATAAGCATTCACATTCAATTATGAATGACGATACGAATGTCTTTGATGAAAATGAAGGTATTGGAGAACAGTAAGTGAAGGGAAATAACTTCAAGAATCCCAATACTGCAACAATTATAGCATGAATACATAAGCCATATAACTTGGTGTATACTACTCAGGACAACGACAGTTGAAGAACACTGCTTGGAAATGGTCCCCCACTCACATTTATTTACAAGAACCTGAAACATAAAAAGCCTATAAACACGTCCACGTCTCCTCAAGCTGATTCTGCCTTTGAATCTCGAAAACGTGACACTAAAGTAGACGTTCTCTGAAAACAGCTTTTATAACCTATCTGTAAATCACAATTCTCTGCAAACCAACGAGTACCATTTTCCTGAAGGAAACTTTTCGATCAGCACATGAAATAGGAGCTATCACATATATAATTTTGCTTCTATGGAGCTAAGAAGATTGATCATATACCATGCGTCTTCTTGTAAAATACGCCAGGGAACACTATTTAGCCTAGCTATCAATGGGAGAAAGTTGTTGTCTCTGTAGGTTGATTATAGAGTATTCAGTTAACTCAGGACATTCATCTGCATATGAAATGTCTTTCTGAGTCCTCTATAAAATATCATCAAGCCTCTCAAGAGGAGTGAAATCAAGATATATGAGCAATACTGAAGCATCGGAGGTAACAAAGTTCAAAGAAGTCCAACCTTTACTACGGCCATCATAAACAATCAATTTCCTCAACATTTTATTATTCGATTAAGCTTCTTATCCGAAATTGCATTTAATGTTTTTTTGATTATGCTTTTAATCCCTATTTGTTATCTTGCAATTCATTGTAATTTCCCGCTCTGTTAGAAATGGTCTTGAAAATGTCTGACGCCTTTGTTGTATATTCATGACTGTGAAGGCTAACTGATTATTTTATCAATGATTATCGTGATGACTCCGATGGATCATCAACAGTAACGGTTTCAAACCCAGCTGGTTAAAGGAATGAAAAGGTTTTTACTGTATTAATCTAGCTGTTTGAACACTTGTTTGTTTATATAACTGGTCACTTTTCATTTGGTTGCATGACGAATGTCATCTGGCTCAAATGACCTTACATTTTGTTTGCATTCAGTTTTATTTCTTTCATGATAGGTAGCAGTGAAACCAATGAAAAACGCGTATTAATTTCTGTTTACAACTTTGCATCATTATGTATCATTTACCAAATAAGTTGTAGTGTTACTAAGTAGACTCCAACACAGTCATTCTAAAAGACTCATTCGTCAATAGAAAAATATAGTCTTTAAGTTTATCAAGTTGTACAGCTCTACATCTATAGTAATTAAAAATAACTATGACAGACAATTTTGTGTGTTTTTTAAAGTAAAATGAAACCACTGACTTCCAAATTCAAAATCGGTAGACGCGAGCATATTATTAATAGGTTATATTTCAAAACATTTGTATGTGATAAATATAACATCAAACAGAGAATCAGATTTCAAAGGTAAATGATCGTGAATAACAACGAATGTATTAAAAATGAATGCTCATGACTAGAATTCTGTTAGAACTAACCATAAACGTTGTACTAATGAATGATAATCTCAAAAACAGTGATAGTAAATAAGATAGAGGCTTGAGTGTGTATATCAGTGTTTAAGTGATTTACTGATAGTAAGATTAAGAAAACAAGTGCAGCAATAAAGAGTAGAAGAATTCATACATGCGGGACAAAAGATCATGCCTTAAAGGTGTGGTATGGTCTAGTACTTATGTATTTATACATTCCACAGAATTCTAGAGTGGCAAAAGGGGCTACACTTGATTCTTTGACATGTTCAGCTCCGGTTGCTTTCATCGAAATGCACAATAGCATCTTCTGTTTAGAGTATTTGGTACCTAGAGGCATTTAGCAATTTATCTGGTACCCAATGGCTGACGGAGAAAGATCCTTCAATTCTACGTTTGGCTTGTGTGAAATAGCAGTCTAGTATCAAACTTTTGATGGTTTTCGCTACACCTTCATTTATCCAAATGAAATATATTTAGTTCAAATAGTGATAATTAACTGGCATCATACACTCTCTTGATTCTATACTATTCAATGGAATATATGAAAAATATGGAACTCACTTCTCCAACATTATATTGTGTAGCCAAAGCTCGTCAAAACGGGATCACATCTCAGCCAAGATAGATACCACTCCTCAAATATTTCATACTGTGCACTCGAATATCACCCGAAACCATATTCAGAACATATTATACCTCATTCGTTTGATCTCTTACTCACTTTAATCATCTCTTGACAGTGTCAGGATACATATCATGAGAATTCCACTTAATTTAACATTATCGACGTCACTGATAAGTGAGTAGCCTTCAAAATAAGGACGGTCACTCTCCGATGTCGTCAGAGGTTAGACGAGGTGTATGGAAAACTACTGGTCGGTGTAAATCACGGATGCTGTCTTCGACAAGGAAATATTCATGAGGAAGGCATGAAGCTTAGAGAGAACTACAACTAAAGAAACAGTGGTTTCTGTGTGTCTGTGGATTGACTATAAGTAACGACATTGTAAGTGTACTGAATCCGATTAATTTACACTACCCTATATTAGTTCGATGTGGGAACTCCGATCTTAATGTCTATTTGCTGGAGTCTAATTGATATATACAATCTTACAAACTGTAATTTAGTGTGAAAATTGATGAGATTCCCAGGTGAGACTGGACAGTACATTTTCAAAAGACACATTCGCTCTATCGTTGAATGAATTACACTCACGACAGTTCTGACGGAGAATACAGTGTCCGTTATAACTGTTTACTCACAAATACCTGCCTAACGTTTATAACATATCCAACAGATTTTGGAATAGTTGAATGTGTTATATAATGTACCCCAAAATACCTTGAATTGCATATTTGTGATGGATCGGTGATTTACCGAAATTAACGTAAGAAAATGTTTTGTATCAAGACAGTCAATAACTCATAAATAAAGCATACGGCTTACATTCAGTGCGAAAGTTATCCTCGATTTTGAGACTGGAAAACCAACCAGAGACAGCAGGACTTCTGAATTCTGACAACAGCAGTCATAATGTAGTTCTGATATATTTATGCTGACTGAGTTATCGCTTCCACGAGTAGAACGCATGTGTTCCAGATGGAAGACTTAATCAACTATCGGTCAAAACTCCTGGACAAAGAAAAATATATATAGGTGTGTTCAGTATTTAGTTTATCAGAAGGAATGTGTGTCTAAATGCTTTTCACACAACTTAAATAGTCACAGTCTTGTATTATCAATTCAGTTGTTTCTGATTTGTGAAATTCTACACTTCAGATGTGTTATGTCGTTTGTAATTGGTTGGTGAAATAGACAGTGAAGAGGAATGAGTATATTGGTAGTACACTATATTATTATCAATGTCTTACCTACCTAAATGTACCTTGCTCAATGTGAATCGAAGAAATGTCTGATCAGTTCATATTTTTTTAATGTGTTGCATATTTGTCAACCCTTCTGTGAAAATAATTTTGAAACAAAATACACATTCGACAATTGCACAATCCGGTTTTCTCGCCGTTCATTGAGTGCGTATATATATATATATATATATATATATATATATATACAATCTACTGAAATGTGAATAGAGTGACTTTGTTATCTGAAGTGAACAGTGGATTTAGAGTCGTCATATTAAAGGGGAGACTGGAATTTTCGAGATACATTCAGTGACAAAAATATATCTGAAGTAGCTGAATACATTGTGTGAGCAAACATGCTGAACTGTCTGAGTTAGTGCTGTATCCAAAAAATGACTAGCTTCGAAATGGTTATCTGTGAAGTTTTCTACTACTGAGGAGAAATAGGAAATGACAACTCAATAGAAACCTCAAATTGCATGGAAACCTTCACGAACTAACGTGCATGACATTTGAATA